ATGTACACATGTATGTTCATATTTTTTAAACTTTCAAATTTATTTCCGCCGCATTCCTCAAAATAATTCCCTCTCCCTCCAATTCATAAAAAAATAATTCCTGCCAAATTACAATCAAATATCAATCAAATAAAAGAAACTCATGCTGACAGCTAGTTACACATGTGAGTACAATATATACTATTCATATTGGTTTTGAAAATTTATTTTTCACAAAAAAATCGGTCTAAAGAACTTTTCTTTCTTTTAACATGTGTGTTTTGCATCATTTGAAATCTTATACGCACTTGGATACCCTTATACATCTCATTTAAATAATTAGATTAATTGTTAATGAAAAAATAAAAATAAATAGGGTAATTCCCGTATATACTCTATCAAAAATGTATGAACTATTATTTATTATGTATAAGGTAAACAAACAATACCATTATTTTTACTGTATATCTCATAGGAATGGGATATATAATTATTCATAGGTGGAATGTAACGGTTATTTATAAAATGTGTTTATTAAAGAATAAAAGAAAATAATTTTTTAAAAAATCCTAAAATTTTTATAAGTATTGGGTTGTCCAAGTTTATAAGTATTGGGAAAGTTCGTGCCGACTAACCTATATAATTTAATAGATGTATACTAAAATTTAAATTTTCTGCGTTTAAATTTTCCTTCAATATCGGCATGAACTTTCCGGACAACTCAATATATCGAATACATTTTATCGACAGTCTCAACTTCCGGTTCTGATCGGAAATAGACTAAATATATAATAAAAATTACATATTTTTTGCGCATAATCTGAATCTGCAACAAAAGTTACATTTAAAAAATATTACTATCTAAATCAGACAGTAATATTTTTTTTTTAAATATGTAATTTTTATTCTAAAATGTGTCCACTATCCATGAAATAATCTTGAAAACAATGAAAAAATAAATTTTAACTGCTCGTGGCGTAATCCAGGTCCTTAGGATCAATTATATGACATATATCCTATGTTCATTTGGTGTGTTGTGTGTGTGTGTGTGTGTGTGTGTGTGTTTACTTATCAAAATTTTTTCTTAAAATCTATCTCAATTCCCACAGAGCAGAACTTTTTTCTGTCAGATTCACGATTTTACAATGGCTGCGTTCAGTAGAACGTTTATTTTGCAAATGTTGGAAGTTTTCTTCGCGCTAATTGAGTTATGCTTTTAAATCAAGAGGATTAGTCCAGTTTCAATAGAGAATAAAACGATTGCAAAACTGTTGTGTTCTGCTGAATGCAGCTATTGATTTCGGGGACATTATCCTATAATTAGATTAAGTGACTTTTCGATAAAAGTAGTATCATATTATCAGTTTCTTGCTCTTAATAACTTAAATTTTTATGACACGAACTTCCATAAAATCAATGGGCTTTAATAATATAGTATCGTTCTGAAGCAATTTCTGGATTATATAATTATCGTGGATAATATAATTATCGATGTGTTATTTAAAAATTATTGTGGTGCAAATGATCGTATTGGTGTTTGCGTGTCTGTACAGAATCATACAAAATGTATTTTAAGAACAAGCACACTTGAGTTTTTTCCACCATGCGTATTAATGCACATACTTTAATTCTGAAAACGGACTTTTAAATCTATAAAAAAAAAAAAGAAAAGAAATTGTGACACAAAAGTTATTGCGTTTAATTGATAAAATAGACGATTTTAGAATCCTTTTAATAGTATTTTTCATTGGAAAAACTAGTGCAATACTGGTGTATACTGAATGCAATTGAATATAAATCAATTCACATATTTACATATTTTAATTACACATTTTTTGTTGTCACGATAACCTGATAACTTTTAAAATTATTTATTATTATTATTATTAATATTAAAAAAAATGTAAATCGATTTGCATTCAATTGCATCAACATTTTAGTTTCAGTTTTTTAATGGAAAATGTTACAAATCAATAGAAATGTATTAAAAATCTTATAGGTTTGTAAGCAGAATCACTGCTGATGCCTCACATTTTACGTGCTACTCTCTATTCTTATTTTAAACAAAATAATAATGTAAAACATTTCCAGCTCAAGTATTTTACTTCAGTATTTTACACTTCAAGATATTATTAGTATTAAATATAATATTATCAATCAATTAAAGCAAATACGTCATACCAGCCACAACCTGTTTATTGATAACAATCCCCTTGTGATCCCCACCAGCGATATGGACATTGTTCTCATTCCCGTTTTCTGCAGGCGGCAGAGCCTGTCTCTCAATTATCAATGTCGTGGAGTTCGCTGTCTTGCATTTCGGTGTCATGACGATGTGTTCTGTCCCGAGAAAAGAAGAAAAATCCGAGTCTACAAAAAGTCCCTTATCTTGTCCTTATCGTGTGAGATAAAATCGAGGAACGTGTTGCAATTTCATTTCAAATTCTTCTCTCACATTTTTCTTTTGCTTTTTTTTTACAATAATTTAGTTCAATAAAATGTTCTAAATATTGAAAAATGACACAGCTATTCACGAAATAAAAAAATGCAACAATCGATTTCGAAATAAGAATCGTTCCCCGCCCGAATTTTTTTCTCTTCATTTTTCTATCTAAACATGGACAACAACTAGAGGCGGCTCTTAATCGCTTACCAGTTTTGTCGCCCATCTTCGCGATATTCCGTTCTGCCTGCTATTACTGCTATTCCTTCGTAAAAGTGACAGAAACTATGGAAAGGAGTATTGAATTAGAAGATTCAATGAACGCAGATGCGACGCTAACCTCCACCCGAATTCACTCAGATCGACAAACACACTGCGCAGCGGAGTAGCAAACACTGCTATTAATGCCGCTGACACTGTCACTTGTCAGTTGTCACCACTCAGTGACTCATCGATCCAAGTCACCAGTGTCACTCACAATCAAAGAAGATTAGAGACCCTCTCAGACTCTCACCTCTCTCTGTGCCCTCTCTCTACTGCTCTCTATAAAAGAAATCTGAGAGAGGACATGATGGGCCAAAACCTGTAACCGCAAATGCTGCCACGCACTACTGCCCTCTGACAAAATGGATGTAAACTATACGCAATGTCCACTTTTCTTTCGGTACATCATCCATTTTTCAAGACTGGACTTTAATTACGTACATTTTCTGACACTATCGATAAAATCTTATTGTCGAAAATAGATGGTTCGTCTCTGTACTAAATCCTCAGGATAGAAACGTGCCGACTATAATTACTAGTATGTGTCAAAGTCTTTATAATTATAGAGACTTTTAATAAATTTAATTCTTTCTAAACATATATTGTTTATTTAAGGTATAATTTAACAAAAACGAATTATAGAGGCCCTCCATCATTCCTGCCAATTTTATCGGCAATCCTCTTTTCTTTATAAGTATAAGCAAGCAATGCGAAAATTATCCCTTTAATTATTTTTTATGTTTTCATGTTACTATTATTATTTCTATAACACTAAAAAGTAATTTTATAAAAGAAAGAAGGATGTATAAACATGTATAGACATATTTCATATATAATTATACATATTTATAAATATTTATGCGTGTTTATGTATGTTTATATATATTTATACATATTTATGCATGAAAACTTTTTTCGGGATTATTTTATTGTATTTCATTAATGAAATTGCAATAACTTTTTAAATATTATTCTTTAATGTATTATCTAATATAAATAAAAGCAGAGTTACTTAAAAATTACTTTAATATTTTATACAAATTTATTTTTGCTAAAATCTTTAAAAAAGTATATATGATAATTATTTTATAGAATATATAATTATTCACATCATTTTATTTAACAATGATTTAAAAATAATCATTTATAAATTATTGTCAAATAAAATTATTTAAAAACAAGCAAAAGAGGATTAATTTTATATAAAAAAAAAATATTTACCGCAAGATTGCTCCGCCGGTGCCTGATGCATCTCCCAGATCTCCTTCTCCTCTTAAGATTGACATCCTCTCGCACAGGACACTCGCGTAAAGCACTCGCGAATACACTATAAACTTATAATAATCGCAAAAAAATGCTAGATATAATACGAAATGTATTGTATGAATATTCACATAATACGATTACTAGTATGATTAATTATTCATAAAGTATAATGTTTCGTATTATATTTTTCGCGATAAGATTTCAAAAAGTAATATGAAAAAGAACTGTACGCAACACGACTGCTTGTACGAATCTCGGAATTCTCGGAATTAGAATAACTGCGCGATAACTACGCGTAAACGTAAACATGACACGCCGCTCCGTGCCACCCCGTGCCATCCCCAACCCAAGGTCGCGCGCCAATCGTCGAACTATCGAAATATTAACGCATATATTATTTTACAAAGTAAAATAATATATTCTTTATATTTTTAATGTTCTTCGATTAATGAAACAATTTCTTATATGTATCTAGTTTTAACAGCGCGAATCGTTTAATGTGGTATCATAATTATATCGTGATACACTAAGGAACTTGACGTTCATTTGATATAATTTTAAATATTTCGTATCAATTACAATGTGCTGACAAAAAGCAAGAAGTAAAAAGAGATTTCTACTAGCGAGATTTTTCTTACATAATTGCTCATGTGAAGTGCTTCTGACATCCCAATATTATATTTCAATTTTTATTGCTCTTTTTTGTGACAATTTTTGTTACAATTAAATAAAGATTAACAATATGTCATACATTAAATGAAGACAAAAATTTATTTTAAATTATAAAACAATTTCGACTAAGTAGAATGATACGTCTAAATAGCATGCACATACATTTAGAGATGTAATTTAAAATAATTTATCCGTTTACTTTTCCCGTATCATAATAATGCGGAGTAACACGCAAATGATAGAATTATACGATTCAAAATGCCACAATTTGAAATATCTAACAATAAGAATCTCATTTTTATATTGTACATGTGAGAACACACGAAATATTTAAAATACTCATGAGCTGTGTATGTGCGTAATAAATTTAAGAAATAAAAATCGTGCAATAAAACCTATTAAATCTTAATACATTTTTTAGCTTTAGGCAACTTTACATAATTCGCGTTCGTAAGTATCTAATTTTTGTTAATTAATGCGACACGCGGAAACTCGTAAAACACACCCGTCTTCGTCCAAGATCGCCGAGCGAATGCCGAAGTGATGACGTATAACCACTGCGCGTCACGCTTCCCCACCCTTCGCCGCGTGATCTCTCCCCTCGCTGTCCGCCGTTCGGACATCCAACTGTCGCGTAAAAATATTCACAATTTATTCAATTATTCGTATTTTACATGATTTTGACAAATAGGTATCGCCGCACATTTCGCGTTTTGCTTTGTGGTATCTTTGGCACAATCCTATATTACTTGCAGGGTTTTATTCCACGGTTTTTATTTTTTAGATTCACATACACAGCTCATGAGTATTTTAAAAATAAAACTCTGCAAGTAATATAGGATTGTGCCAAAGATGTCACAAAGCAAAATGTGCGGTGATACCCATTTGTCAAAATCATGTAAAATACAAATAATTGAATAATTTTTCATGCGATATATGAATATTTTTGAATATTTTTCATATGCGATAGTTGGATATATCTGAACGGCGAATAGCGAGGGGAGGGATCACGAGGTGGAGTGGGAGAGCGTGCCGCGGCGCGGTGGTTGATACGTCATCACTTCGGCATTCGCTCGGCGATCTCGGACGGAGACGGATGTGTTTTACGAGTCGTTCCGTGTGTCGCATTAATTAACGAAAATTAGATATTTACGAACGCGAATTAAAAGTAAAGTTGCCTAAAGCTAAAAAGTGTATTAAGATTTAATAGGTTTTGTTGCATGGTTTTTATTTCTTAGCTTTATTACGCACATACACAGCTTATGAGTATTTTAAATATTTCTCACATATACAATATAAAAATGAGATTCTTATTATTAGATATTTCAAATTGGCATTTTGAATCATATAATTCTGTCATTTGCGTGTTACTCCGCATTCTTATGATACGGGAAAAGTAAATAGTTAAATTATACTTAAATTACATATTTCTAAATGTATGCGCATACTAGACGTATTATTTAGACGTATTATTATTCTATTTAGTTGAAATTGTTTCATAATTTAAAATAAATTTTTGTCTTCATTTAATGTATGACATATTGTTACTCTTTATTTAATTGTAAATTACAAAAAAGAGCAATAAAAATTGAGATATAATATTGGGATGTTAAAAGCTCACTTCACGTGAGCAATTATATAAGAAAAACCATGCTAGTAAAAACCTCTTTTTATTTCTTACTTTTTGTCAGCACATTGTAATTGCGAAATATTTAAAATTATAAAATGAACGTCAAATGTTTCTTGGTGTATCACGATATAATTATGATACTACATTAAACGATTCGCGCTGCTAAAACTAGATACATATAACAAATTGTTTCATTAATCGGAGAACATTAAAAATGTAAAGAATATATTATTTTATTTCGTAAAATGATATGCATTAATATTTCGGCAGTTAGACGGTTGGCACGCGACCTTGGGTTGGGGATAGCACGAAGTGACGCGTCATGTTTACATTTATGCGTAGTTACCGCGCAGTTATTCTCTTTCCGAGAATTCCGAGATTTGTACAAACAAATCGTACGGTTCTTTTTCACATTACTTTTTGAAATGTTATCGCGAAGAATACCAGATATAATACGAAACATTGTACTTTATGAATAATTAATCATACTAATAATCTTATTATGTGAATATTCATAAAATACATTTCGTATTATATCTAGCATTTTTTGCGATTATTATATATATGTTTCAAAAAGAAATGTGAAGAAGAATGGCACGCGACATGGCTACTTATCTATACGAACGGTATCACATGAGTTATAAAAAAGCAATGCTAGTATGAACACTCTCATGCAAATAACGCAATTCCTGCTTTTACAATTAATATAGCTTAATAATTTAATTAATTTTTTGTTTGTTTAATATTCATATATTTAATATTCTAAAAGTTAACTAATTGCATAATAATTGCATAATAATATAGATAATAGCTACATATATTACATTTATCAGATTATCTTCCCTCTCACGGGTACTTGAAGTGGGGGCCCAGAAGATATTTACACGAAAAGAACGGTTTTTCTCAAGTATCTAAAAATTTTCGGCTCTATCTGAATGATTTTTTATTTAAAATCGTTCTCTTCATTTAATCCAAGAATAAGGACCTCGTTGCCGATTTACTTGAAAATGAATAACCGCAGCCGGTTTATCGCATGTTTGCATCGGGAGTGCCGGTAAGTTATAGTCCGTGTGCTATTATAATATTATTCGCGAGTGTTTTACGCGAGTGTCCTGTGCGAGAGGATGTCAACCCTATTCTGAGAGGAGGAGGAGATCTGGGAGAGGCATCAGGCACCGGCGGAGCAACCTTGCGGTAAATATTATTTTTTACTTATGTAACATCTGTATCCTTCTTCTTTTAAATTTAATCTTTAATAATTTCATTTTAATAATTTAAAAATGATAATTAGGAAAGGATTATTTTAAAATTATTTTGAAACTTTATAAACATGTATTTTTGAGAAATGTATAATTATTTTTATAAATATAACTGAATGGCGACTTATATATATATATATATAATTCAATGCTTATAAAAATGATATATTTTGAATATTATATGATTTTATTTTCAAAAAACTTTGCATTTAGTAAATATTTGTTGAAATATTGGTTGATTCTTTTATTCTGTTTTAATTTGGATTTCCTATTTTTTTTGTTACAG